CCTCAGTTTCCCCTCTATAAAGTGCAGAAGTCAGGTTAGGTGAGTGGCTTACAGGCTTTTTTTCCCCCCAGAGGAACCCTTTAAAAAAATTAAATGTCAAACGGGACTCTTGTATATAAAACATGAAAACAGAGCTGCTCTGGCTCAGGGACACGGGCACAGACTGCTGTCTTCTCAGCCCTCCCTGGGGTGTCTCCCAGGGATCTTAAGGCTTCATGTGATTTCTACGATCGCTCTCAGTTCCAACCTTCGACAATTCTGGGACTTTACATCAGAATCCTGAGTTTCAGTCTGGGCTTTTCTACTCACCACTATGACCTGGGACAAGCCATTTACTTGCTTTGGTCTTGAATCACCTCCTCTGTTGAGGGTGGATCATCTATCAGAAGCCCTTTATCTAGTGTAGTTGAGACAGGTAGTTGGTCAGTTAATGGAAAACGTCCACTGAAGTGAAGAAATTGTTATAAAAAATGATGTATGCAAATCTTAAATGTTTTTAAAACATTATTTCACTAAATTATTAAGTTAAAATAAAACACATCCATCACATTCACTTAAGCATTCTTTTCATATAGAGACAAGGCCTCTCCTTTGAGGATAAGTCTGGTCTTAGGGCAAGAGCAACTCACCTTTTCTCAAGTCTTTCAGAAACACCCAACTTGACTTTCAGAGAAACCATTCTCCACGGTCATACATCCTTGGCTTAAATAATAGTTTCTCCAATAGCAAGTACACATCAGGCAAATAGATTTGGGAACAAAGAGCTGGCTCTTGGCGAATATACAACCCAAGGGCGGGAGGGGGGGAGCAGAAGAGCCTGTGAACCTCAGAAGGTGACCTATGGGATCTGAGAGGTCAGTGGACATGGGTCTCTGCCAGTAGGTTGGATGGGAGGTGGCGTGAAGCATCCATCACTTGGCTGTCACATGGGTGGGTATACCTGAAGAGCTCTGTCCTAGCTAGCTCACAGAGTTGTTCCAAACCAAACTGATGCGTTAAAGTCTAAAAAGTACAAAGCTTTCTCCTGTTGAAGGAAAGCCAACCTACTAAGGTTAACCAGCCAGGCAGGGGTGTGACCAGGGCTGGACCCAGGACTTCAGACTCCCTTTTAAGAGACAAAAGCCTTGCCCTTGCCATCAGTGGGATCACTGAATGAGCAGCAGAAGTATGTAGTTCAAGGCCAGAGGCCCAGGACCGTTGGGCATCCTGTCCGTGGAGGCCTGGATGGTAGGAGGCTGACATGCATGTGTGTGTGGTTTGTCAGCAGGAGAGCATGCCTTTCGCTGTGGTGGGAAGCGACAAGGAGTACCAAGTGAATGGCAAGCGAGTCCTCGGCAGAAAAACTCCCTGGGGGATCATTGAAGGTAATTCAGTGCATCTTCTTGAAGAACTGGCCGCTGCTGGTGAATTATGCTTACTTATTCAGCATCTAGAGTTCAGGGCACTATCCTGGCATGTCAGATACAAAATGAAAGCCAGCCAGACCCTGCCGTAAGGAGCTTACAGTCTAATTGAGAAGATGAGTCTCAGAGACAGGGAGCACTGAAAGAGCGATTTAGCACCTGACCGGGAGGCCCTGACTTGTGCGTCAAAGGAGTGGAGAACGGGGAGAGACTAAAAAGCACTGGAAAAACCGGAGGAAGGTTTTCACATGAAAGGGGACATGATCTGACAAACTGCTGGAGGGTGGTTCGGATGTGGCTGTTTTCGTTTTGTCGGGAATGGATGTGACCTCGAGAAGGTCAATACCGGTTCTGAAAGGTCTCAAAGAATTGCTTCCGTGATCTCATTCAAATATGATAACCCTCGACGGGGAGCAGGGGAGGCATGCCTGTACTCAGAACATTAGCCCCCGAGGGCCACGAGCTTCAGACAGGTGAAGGGTCTTGCCCAAGATCACACAACTTGGTGGTGGTTGAAACTGAGATTTCAGGGCTGGAGTTCAAGTCCACAACTGAATTCATTTCAGTTCCCAAACCAAGTTCGTCCCATTGGATCATATTGTCTCTCATTTGCCGATGACACTGTGTTGAGATTTTTTTTTTTAATGGCATTCTCTCATCCACCTTGAGTTGGAATCATTTATGAGGAAGTCTGTCCTGTCCATTAGATTGTGGGACTAGGGCATTCATGTCTTAATCACCTTCTGCTCCCACAACGCTTAGCAGGTGGTTTGCAGATAGTAGGTACTCAATCTGTATTGAATTAGATTCATCGTGTAGTGCGTGACCGTTTTTAAGATGGTTCGATTGTTACATTCTGTGTGTGTTACTGTTTTCCAATCGGATTATAGCTCCTTGAGGATAGGAATTGTGTCTTAGGCCTTTGGCCAGCTTTTAGACCCCCTGTGTATTAATTTTATTTCCTATAAAATGGGAAATCTAATAGTCCTGATTAGCTGCTGTTTCACAGATTCCAGAATAGTATTGTGCCATTGTTCCCGTGTCCAGAAATGCCCAGAGGAGCGAACCTCTGGAAGGCTTACAAGACATCACCTGTCCTGTGGCTGTCTCCTCAATGCCTTGGTGACGAGAACAGAAGCACGCCTGCTGGGTGTTGCTACATTAGTGAAATGACCACCTGTTTTGTTTTGTTTCGTTCACAGTGGAAAACCTCAACCACTGTGAGTTTGCCCTGCTTCGAGACTTTGTCATCAGGTGAGATGCACCCCTTCCCTCAGAGGGCAGGTTAATTTATGTGGGGTCAGGAGGCCATCCATTCAGGTCCACTTCCTCCATCTCCAGGTCCCTCTGACAGAGCTCTCTGCCCCCCGTTCTAGGTCCCATCATGAAGCAGAGGGGGCCGAAGAAGTATTGTTACTGGCTCTCTGGCCTGGGTCCCAGTTATTGGGCCCAGGCCGCGGGAGTGATGCGTTGACCTCAGATGTGGTCCGTCTCTCCCTCCCCACCCCTAATCACACCCCTCTCTCTCCTCACCCTTTGTCCTTCAGGACCCACCTCCAGGATCTCAAGGAAGTGACACACAACATCCACTACGAGACCTACAGGGCCAAGCGGCTCAATGACAATGGAGGCCTCCCTCCGGTGAGCGTGGACACAGAGGAAAGCCACGACAGTAACCCCTGACGGCCCTTTCTCTGTATCATCACACATCCCCACTTTTCCACACACACATCCCAAAACCACCACCAACCACCTTCTTGCTTTCTACTCTGTCCCACAGGCCTGTCTGGTGTTTGTGGAGTTTGTCTACAGTGTGTGCGTGTGTGTGTGTGTGTGTGTGTGTACGAGAGGGAGAGAGAGTGTGCGTGCGTGTGTGTGTGTGTGTGTGTGTGTTTACCTGTGCAGGGGTGAGGTATTTTCACTGCCCTCCCTGGTAGGTCCCTTGTAAGTTTGGTTCCTCCATGGCTGTCCATTATCTGTCTCCTTTCCTTGTGTCCCAGAACAAAGCCGTGTGCCTCACTCAAGAGGTCTTAGGGGAGGTTTCACTTAAAAATGATGGGGAGCAGGTGAGCCACAGGTAACTCTTTCTTATCTCAGAGCCGCCCACAAACAGGGACTGCAGAGACTCTCTGAGGACAGCTTTGGAGCTGGACCTGGTGGGGAGTGGGTGGTGGGGCTTGGCCGTCCAGGGTAAGGCTAGGACTTCCTAGGAGAGGGAAGGTCAAGGGAGAGCAGAGTCGGCTGGAGCTGGGCTCCTGCAGAAAGAGTTCGTGCCCAGAAGTGGAGAAAAGAGCTCCACCCTTCAGCATGTGTCGCCGCCACTGTCCGAAATCCACCGCCTGTCGCCGTCCGTCCTGGTTGCTGACTGCTGCTTTCCACACGCGCCTCACCTCACTCCCCTCTGCTCCCGCCTTCTCCCCCTTCCCTCATTGCTTCATCCTGCGCCTCTCTGACTTCTTCCACTTGCTTGGAGTCTAATCCACCTTAGCTACATTTCCATATTTAGGATTTATGCCCAGTCTACTTCCAAAAAGGACTTCAGGCCACTTTAAAATAAAATCACAGCCAAAGCACGTGACAGAACACACTGGGATTACGGGATTACGAGAGAAATCAGACCCACAGAGATGAGCAGGAAAGAAAGTTTCCGCAGCGCAGGGTGGACCCGTGTGGGCCCAGGCAGAGGGGGAAACACGATGAGTTACCCAGTTCCCAGTAGCTGGTTCGAGAAGCACACGCGCTGGTCCAGTGAGACAGCCTTTCTTTGGGCACTGAGTTCTAGAAGAATTAAATCTAAAGACGTATCAAGAGCAATACACAACCTTTGCCTTTCTCAGTGGTTTGGCTACAGAGGCAAATCGGAGACACCACCTCACTTTTCTCCATCCAGATTCTTCCTCCTGAACAAGCTGTCTTCTCTACTGCTCGCTTCTCATTCATGCTTGAGCCCCTCTGGACTTCTGTTCTCTCTCACTGTGCATGTCTGTCTGTCTGTGTCTGCTTTTCCCCGATTCCCGCCTCCTGACTCCTGCAGACATTGCTAATGATACCCACAATCATACAGTCAGCCTTTTCTTGCCACCCGCTTCAGCCCTGTATTTATTAATGCATAGATTTCCCCCACTGGTTTTACAAACAAGTTACTCTTTCTCCTTCAGTCTATCAGGTGGCTGAAACTTGGGGCTGGGGGAAACAGTTTAGCCTTAGGTAAAGGGAAAACACCAACTAGCTACCATTTACAATGACCTCATACAACCTCCTGTTCCATCTCCTGGTCCAGCCCTCGGTGTTTTACTGGTCCACGACAAATCCCAGCATTTCTAGTCTCTTATCACTTAGGTGCTAGGAAAGCACATAGACTTCAGACCAAGACTCGGTGGGCCAGGGGAAAGAGGCGGGTGACCCCAAAACCTATGGTCTCTGTCTTTCTTGGAGGTTCTTTACCAATCCAATACACATCCTCCCTCCCCCACAAAGTTATTGCAGGGTAAGCACCTGTCAGGATAGAACAGCATTAGGGTTAAAGCCCAGAGGTTGCTACATTTCCACAGGAGAGGGATCCCCAGTGTATACAGTGGGCAGTCATGTGGGCAGACATGGGACTGGCCACTAGGACTGGCAGGGGAGGTCTAGTGGGGTGGTGGGCGTTGGAGAGGTGGAGTAGAGGATGGTGCTTGGCACCCCTACACCTTGATGTCAGCCTCCCTGGAGAAGCTGTTTTATGTGTCTGCTGCCGGCCACTGGTCTCCACACCCTCAACCGTTCTCACCCCCCTGCAGGGAGAAGGCCTCCTGGGCACTGTCCTTCCACCTGTGCCAGCCACCCCCTGCCCCACTGCTGAATGAAGGCCATTTCAAGCGCTGCTTCTCCCTCCAATCCTCCCAGCTGTTATTGCTGCAGGGCTATGCCCTTTTTAGAGCTGTCCTTGCCCAGCCCACCACCACCACAGCCCCTCTCAGCTCTCAGCAGATTGGAGGGCCCAGCTATCTCTTTAGGACAGTTGCTTACCCCCTGTATCCAAACCACCCCCCCCCCCAGTGGAATGGGGTTCTCGCCAGCACGGCCCTCGTCCATCGTCTGTGTCAGCCGGTCCCAACCCATCCGTAGGGGGAAAGAACTCATCAAGAGCTCCTTCTACCCTTGCAAACCCATACCAGCTACTTGTAACCATCTCTAAGGGGAAATGGCATTGCTCCCTGTCCATTCATCTGCATGAGCTACTCTTGGCTTCCTTCAGGGGTCAAGAAAGCAACTTTTCTGCTTGTCAGATTTGTTGAGGTCAGCCATGTGAGCCCCAGTGTGGGACAAGGGTGTCTCCTTCATTGCTTAAAGCTTATTTCTAATGATGGGTCACTACAGATGTGGGGGAGCCAGGCCTAGGGTCACTTTAAAAAAATAGCCATTTGTGGCTGGCCCCAGAGTTCAGCTTCATGCCCTCCCCACCCTGTAACGCAGCCGCTTAGAAAGAGTGGTTTTCCTGAAGAGACGTTTCTGGAATTGACTTCCTTACTCTCAAACTTAAAAAAAGAACGTAAACACAGACACGAAACTCCAGAAACCCATGGGATGTGAACTCTAGGAAGAAAAAAAAAAATCACCCTTCTGTCCACTTAGCAATAAGAGGGATCTCTTCCCACCTACTCTGACTACTCCTGCCCCAACCTCCACCCTGCTAATGTGAGTAATGAATTAGCCTGGCCACAGTTGGTCACTGTAGGCTAGTGGAAAATACCCAGTGGAGGGCAAAGGCCCCCATCAGATGCATGAATGTTTGCGAATGTTGGCTGCCACTGCCCCACATACTGTGTCTGTATGGGATTCTCCCCGCCCCGCTCCCCCTTTTCCCCACTGTCTCCACCTGGACACTACTTTCTCAAAGGCTGGTGACTTGTGGGCCATTCATCCACAACTAAGTCCTGATGGAGCAAGAGGCCCAAGCCTAGGGGATGCAAGAACGACCCATTTCTTAAATGTTACCAGTCCCAGCCAACTTTTGGGTGACATTATGGTTAAATTTCCCAATTGAAAACAAGCCAACAGACCCTCAAACTGGTTGTGTAAATGTTGCTAGACTTTATGTGTTGTACAACTAAACATTGCTGTTTGAACAAGAACTGTCCGGCCTGTGTCTCATTTGTGCTCCTCACTCCTTGGCCAAATTGGCCATTACATCGCGCGGGTGGAGGGTGAGACAGGGATCGTCTTGGTAAGAAGCGGCCACAAAAATTATAGATGGAAAACATTTCATGAGATCAGTTGGTCTTCATTTGGCTTGAGGTTGGACTTCAGTCATTATTCTACGGAGTTTTGTATTCAGAAGGAGTGATGGAGCTATCATGCTAGACCTTGAGGGATGCTGTGCTCTGTATAGCCTGTCTCCTTCAATGAACACAAGGTTTATTTTCATTTAACTAATTTCCTAGCTTTTCCCTCCTTCCTCCAGAAGGCATAAAACCCAATTCTATGAAAGGAGTGGGCCCATCTTGCCTAAAGACCTGCCTACTGTGCAGTGAATACTTTAATAAGAGTTAAGAATTTACATCTAAAGCCCTAGTTTGTTTCTTGTCTTTTTCAAACTTAAAACAAACTTCCTCTCTTTGAGTTTCCTAATCTTTTCTGTAGCCAGCAAATAACACGACTTTGTCTCTATCTTTCTGAATTTGAATGTGATGGCCATATGCAATTGTGTTCGGGGCCTCAATATTCTGTAGGGTGAATGCAAGGAATAGAAGAGTGGTGGGGAGTCATTCGGGTAAAATAATGGGGATCAGGACCAGAGCAGCAACGCCACACGGAGATGGAGAGATATGGGAAGATCTGAGTGATAGAGTAGTTCTGCAAACTTAAAATATTACAGCTAAGAGAAAGCAGTTCTTTTAGTCCAATTCTTTCATACAGATATGGAAACTGAAGTCCAGAGAGCATAGTTGTCTTGCCCAAAGTTGCACACTTAGTTACCAGTGCAAGAGGAGGACTCTATCTCAATGCTCATTCTACAGTTTCACACCATTCCTATTGTATTTCATTTGTTCCAATAGTCTTGTGTTAAAAAAAAAAAAAATCAGCTTGGGGCCCTTGGCTGACTGAGTCCGTAGAGCATGCGACTCTTGATCCCCAGGTCGTGAGTTCGAGCCCTATGTTGGGTGTAGAGATTACTTAAAAACAAAAAAAACAGCTTCCAACTGATGACATATCTTTATTTGGCAACTTTTTTCCCCTAGTGGTACATTTAAAAATGATGCATCTTCTAAGTGGCAGCATCTTAAACTTGATGAAATACGGTAATCCAGAAGCTGTTACCTTCCCTTTGCTTGAAGCCCTTTGGCGCTGTTTTGTGAATTTTAAAGGAAATAAGCATGTGGACAACATTTTAGTCCTCAAAGCGATTCCAATATAATGTATCCTACCGGATCCTCACAATCACCGTTTCGAGGAGGCAGGCCAGTTATGATGGTTGACACGGTCTCGATCTTGGAGCCGGCACAGATCCTCCCGACACAGCTCTCGCGCCCTTCCCTGAATGCTGCCTCACAAGAAACCGGCTCAGATTCCAGGCTTTTTCTGGTGGGGAGAAGTTCTGCTCGCCCTAGGAGAAGCGAGAAATCCTTCTGGACCCTTTCTCCAAAGGGCGTTAGACTCCTGCCCCGGCCACGGGGGACGCAGAAAAATCCTGCTTCTAAGCTCTATTCCCGTGGGCAGCCGAGCAACCATGCCTGGGCTACCACGCAGGAGCCAAGAGGACAAGTGTGGGTCCAGGAGGCCACTCACTCAAACCTCTGCGCTCCAGAGGCGGGGTCAGTTCCCTGGGTCCGCTCCCTTCCCCCTCAGCCGGCATCTCAACGTGGACACTGCCTAGCTCTCTGACCACCGCCCCTCACGTGACCAGCCCCTTCGCCCACCCCCCCCCACCCTCGTCCTTGCGCCATAATCTCCGCCCTCCCCTTCAAAGCCCCGCCCCCGGTTTGGCGCAGGCCCCGCCCCTTCCCATCTGAGGGGTGGCAGGAGGGGGCCTGGAGAAAGATGGCGGTGAATCAGAGTCATACCGAGAACCGCCGCGGGGCCATCATCCCTTTTGGCGAAAGGTGCCTGAAGGGAAGCCGGGGGGCGGGGAGGAGTGCTGTCAGAGTCGGGAGGAGACCGACGGGTGGGGCTGGCGGCTTGCAAATTCTCAGCCAATCGGGGCCTTACCCGCCTTTTCCGGGCGCCGCAGGCGGAGCCCCGTCCCCGCCATTGGAGCCCGCGTGCCGCGGCGGGCGGTTAGGGGCTCAGAGGTGGCAGGGGCTGGAGCGCGTGGCCTCGCTCAGGTAAATGCGCGGTGCGAGGCGCTCGTCGCCTCAGAAGAAAGGCACTGGTGGGGTGTCGCGCCGCCCTTCCGGGTCGCGTGCAGCTGCCGTTGGGAGCGCCAGACCTCCGCGGGGTGACCGCGGCCGGGGCGGGGGTCGGGGGAGCGGCGGGCGCGCCCCTCCGGTGCTCCCGGAACACCGAGGCGGAAGAGACGGGAGGGCGGACCACTCTGAGGATCCCGCGCTGTCGGGGCCTCGCCCCGCCCTCAGAACCTCCAGAAGCCCCCTTTCTATTCGCCCCGACGGGGGTGCGGGGATGACTGCCCTTACTTTACCGTAAAGCTGGGGACCAGACCTCGAGGGAGGAGGACGCTGGCTGCGCGGGTCTTCGGGTTTCGCGCGGTGGCTGTGCGCGGGGCTGGCGGGGTCCGCCCCTCGCTCCCCTTCCCACCTCATGCCTCCTCGCCACGCGGCTCCTCTCCTCCGTCCCTCCCGCCCAGCTTTCCGGACGCCTGCGCGCTGCCCCCAGCAGTTCTTCCTTAGGCTCACGTCTCCGCTCCGACTGGCCCTCGGTCTCCTTTGCTGTCCGGCATAGCGGTGAGACCCTGACACCCGGTGCTGTGTCCCAGGGAGCCTGCGCATTTGTCGGAAAGATCCGCTAAGACAGTACCGAGTGCTGATGTCCAGATCTGGTTTCGCTGCTTCCTCCCCGGGAAAATGTTCTTGACAGATTCCCACGGGCGGTGGAGGCCCGTCCGTCTTCCCTTGTAGGAGGAGATGATGGCCCGCCCCTCGGACCGCGAGGTCTCCCTGGTCACCGGCCTGGAGTGCTTCGACCCGTGTGCAGGTGGCTCTGTGCCCTGAAGCCACTTCTGATCTGGTGTCTGGGCATCTTCTCGCTCAGCCTCGGGTCTGTCTCTCTGCTCTTCTGTGTGTGGGTTGGAGGCAGGGCATGAAGCATGTTTTAAAAAAATTGTAACAGAAACACCGATTTCATGGCCCTTTGAGTTATCTTGAGGGGGTCCGTTCTGTGCTCCTGAATGCTTAATCATCGCCAAACACTTGTAAGAACTATATACTCATCACTGCTCTAGCTACCATGAGGATCAGTAGCATTTCCCTTATTTCTCAAGGAATTTCTCAAACTGAAACAAAGAGAATTGCTTAAAATCATATGGCCAGTGCATGTGGGAGAGCTTTGACTGGGGTTGGAACTTCTCAACTCCACCTGTCCCTCAGAAACGAAAAAGACTGCCTCTCCTCCTTCTCCTCCTCAGAGAAGACCCCACCCTGTCAGTGCTCTGGCTTCTTGTATAGAAACTACCATATTTCTTTATTTTTATTTTATTATTATTTTTTTATTTGAGCATAGTTGATTCACAATGTTACATTAGTTTCAGGTGTACAACATAGTGATTGGACTGCTCTGTAAGTTATGCTATGGTCACCGTAAGTGTAGTCACCATCTGTCACCATACAGTGCTATTACAGTATCATTGTGTTCCCTATGTGTGCCTTTTATTCCTGTGACTTATTCCTTCCAAAACTGGAAGCCTGTATCTCCCCTTCCCCTCGACCCGTTTTACCCAACCCCCCAACACGTTCCCTCTGGCAACCATCAGTTTGTCCTCTGTGTTTATTTTGCTTTTTGTGTGTTTAGTCATTTTGTTTTTTAGATTACATGTATGAGTGAAATTATATGGTATTTGTCTTTCTCAGTTTGATTTATTCCACTTAGTGTAATACCCTCTGGGTCCATCCGTGTTGTTGCAAATGGCACAAAAACCATCCTTTTTTATGGCTGCATAATATTCCTCTCCCTCTCTCTCTCTCTCTCTCTCTCTCTCTCTCTCTGTGTGTGTGTGTGTGTGTGTGTGTGTATCACATCTTCCTTACCTAATTTTCTATGGAGGGACACTTATGTTACTTCCATATCTTGGCTACTGTAAATAATGCTGCAATAAACATAGGGGTGCATATATCTTTTCAAATCAATGTTTTCATTTTCTTTGGGTAAATACCCAGTAGTGGAATCACTGGATTATATGGTATCTCTATTTTTAATTTTTTGAGAAAACTCCATACTGTTTTCCACAGTGTCTGCATCAATTTACATTCCTGCAGACAGTGCACAAGGGTTTTTTTCTCTCCACATCCTCTCCAGCACTTACTTCTTGTCTTTTGATTTTAGCCATTCTGACAGGTGTGAAGTGATCTTTCATTGTGGTTTTGATTTGCATTTCCCTGAAGATGAGTGATGTTGAGCATCTTTTCATGTGTCTGTTGGCCATCTGTACGTCTTTGTAAAAAATGTCTATTCAGTTCCTCTGCCCATTTTTTAATAGGATCGTTTTGGGGTTCTTTTGGTATTGATAGAAACTACTTTAAAGAAATAGGTTGAGAAGGAGAAGATTGGTTGTATTTTGACTTCTTTTGCCTATTCAGAATACACATTTGAGAAATTCATCACATTGTAGCTGTGTTCTTGGGAGGTTTTTTTTTTTCCCCCAGCTAAGTTATAATTGTGCAGATAGGACTCTACTGATAAATAGGGAACACACTGAGTTTTTTTTTTTAACCAATATTCTAAAATTGTACAGATAGTACCATATGTGTTTATTGTAGAAAAATAAGAAAAAAAATTAAATTACCCCAGATTCCAACAATGCTTTTTACATTTTGGTATGTATCCTCCTGCACTTCCCTCCATGGAAATATATGCAACACCCCCACACCCGAGACTGCTTTGTAATTTGTTTTCCTCACTTACCAATGTATTGGGAATGCTCTCCAGTATCAATATCTACATCATTATTTTCAATAACTGGTATTCCAGTATGCATGAATCTTTGTTCAAGCCCCATCCGGGATGTTCAGGGTACAATTTGTCATTGCTATAAACATTGCTTCAGTGAACACTATTTTTAGTATATGTGCTGCCGAAGCGAGCACTTCAGTGAACACTTTTGACAACTTATCTTTGCCCACCTGTCAAAATGGTTCTTGGGGATATGTTCCTGAAAGTGGAACTGTGGAATCAGAGGATATAGACTTTTTTTTAAAAGATTAAAATGTATTTTTTAGATTAAAATGTATTTTTAAAAAATATAAAAATTCTGTGAAAAATATTTTAAATTATACAAATGTATATAGAAATATATGTTTTTGCAAAGTCACCCCATAGAATTATGTCAATTTATATTCCTCTCAATACTCAGAGTGCCCATTTCACCACACCCTTGACAACACCTGGTGTTAAACTTTGCTATTTCTGTCAGTCTAAATAATTGAATCTTGAAAAATTTATTGGTAGTGAATTTATTTTTTTCCTAAGGTTGTTGGCTATTTGTCCTTGATAAATTTTCTTTGTAAATTTTCTATGTTTTTACTAAGTTGTTAATGATTTTGTGTTTGTGGGTGGTAAAAAACATAAAATGAAATTTACCGTATTAACTATTTTTAGAAAATAGATATTATATATATGTATATATGGTGTACAACATGATGATGTGATGTACATATATATACTATGTATAATGATTTCTATAGTCAAGCTAATTAACGTATCATCTCCTCACACAGTTACCATTTTTTTGGCGTGATGCATGTGCCTGATATCTACTCTCTTAGCATATTTCCAGTGTTCACTATACTCATTTTTTAAAAAAAAGTTTTTACTTATTTATTTGACAGAGGGCAAGAGAGTGCAAGCAGGGGAGCAACAGAAGGAGAGGGAGAAGCAGGCTCTCTCCTGAGCAGGGAGCACGATGTGGGGCTCGATCCCAGGACCCTGGGATCGTGACCTGAGCGGAAGGCAGAAACCCAACTGACTGAGCCATCCAGGCGCCCTTTCAATATACTCATTAAGTGTAGTCATCATGCCTACAGTACATTGGATCTCTAAATTTATTCATCCTACATAACTACAAATTTATACCCTTTGACCACCATCTCCCCATTTCCCCTATTCCCTGAGTCCCTGGTAACCACCATTCTACTTTTGTTTTTTTTAAGATTTTATTTATTTATTTGACAGAGAGAGACACAGCAAGAGAGGGAACACAAGCAGGGGGAGTGGGAGAGGGAGAAGCAGGCTTCCCACCAAGCAGGGAGCCCTATGCGGGGCTCGATCCCAGGACCCTGGGACCATGACCTGAGCCGAAGGCAGACGCTTAATGACTGAGCCACCCAGGCGCCCCCACCATACTACTTTTTGCTTCTATGCATTTGACTTTTTTTTCTTAAGATTCTACATATAAGTGAGATCATACAGTATTTTTCTTTCTCTGGGTTATTTCAGTTAGCACCGTGTTCTCAAGGTTCATTCGTGTTGTAGCATGTGACAGGATTTCTTTCTTATGATTGAATGATACATATATATAAATACCACGTCTTCTTTATCCATTCATCCATTGACCTACACGTAGGTTGTTTCTATATCTTGGATATTGTGAATAATGCTGCAGTGAACGTAGGAGTGCACGTGTCTCTTTGATATCCTATTTTCATTTCCTTTGGATATACACCCAGAAGTGAGATTGCTGGATCATATGGTAGTTCCATTTTTATCACATTGATTGATATTCATATGTTGAACCATCCTATGTTCCAGGAATAAATCCCAGTAGGTCATGTGTATAATCCTCTTAATGTACTGTTATATTCAGTTTGCTAGTATTTTGTTGAGGATTTTTGCATCAGTGTTTTTCAGAGATGTTAATCTGTAGTTTTCTTGTCTTGTATCTTTTTCTAGTTTTGACATCAGGGTAATGCTGGCCTCAGAGAATGACCTTGGAAGT